AATTGAAAGAACTCTCTTAACAAATGATATAATCAAGTCAAGTATTTAGAGAGTTAGGATAACACTTCAATAGATAGCAAGTAATAAGGTTCAAGTAGTTTGAGTTTTTGTATCAAAGTTTTCAAACCAATAATCTCTATTAACATATAATGCAAGTTAAGTATGAGAAGTGATTTACACTTAAATCAATGTGTTGACTAATAAAACTTTTATAAAAAATGAAGAATAGATGAAATTTATGAAAAGTTCTTTGCTAAAAAGAGATTTCTTGATAAAATGAATGAAATAAATTGAATCAATCAAAAAACTCTTTTGTAATAAATGAAATAGAATTTAAACTCAAGTAATCTCAATAATTCTCAATAAGTAAGCTAAAAAAAAATCTCGCGTAAGTTGGTTAAAATTGAATGTAAAATAGATGACTATTTATAGAGTAAAATAGGAAGCTGCAGGCAATTTCGGCTGATATCTTTCGGTCGACCGAAATTGAAATAAAGCCGTTGAAAAAATAAGACCGTTGCAACTTGAAATTTCGGTTGACCAGAATTTGAGATTGAATTTTGTTGATTATTTAAACAATTTCGATTGACCTAAGTTTTTGAAATAATTTCGGCTGAGAATCAAACAATTTTCGTTGACCAAAAAATCAACAATTTCGGTTGACCAAAAGTTGACTTTTTTTTTTTATATCTTTTTCATACTATGAGTGAAAATCATTTTTATGCAAGTGATGAATTATAAAAATAATTCGAGCTTTATGCATTTACTAAGAATCGAAGTGTTAATATCTTTACATTTAAATTCCAATAAACTACTTCCAAACTTTAATCTTCAAAGTTCTTGTTCTCTTCGAATCTCATTTGATTGCTTGCTCTNCTTCAAAATTCTTGTTCTTGTTCTCTTCGAGTCTCATTTGATTGTTTGTTCTTCAACGGATGACGATTTGACTCTTTGAATGCTTAAGAAGATATATTCATGAAAAACTCAAGAAACAAAACTTGTTAGAAATATAAGTGTATTGTTTGTTATAATCAAAACAAGTGGAGTTATATTAAATCATAGGTCAACAAAATGATTATAGGGATTTTAATCCACATGCTCAATAATAAATAAATGCAATAAATAAAATAAAAGCAATTTTATTTAATATAAGAATATTGTTATTTTTACATTAGCAAAACTATATTATATAGGGACACAACCCAACAAATCTCTCACTTACCCTAGAGTATATGTGTCTTGTCTTTTAACCTTATGCCTTGCAAATGTCCATCGAAAACCTTGACCGACAGGCTTTTGGTAAATGGATCAATGAGGTTATTCACAATAGCAATTTTATTGACAATCACGTCTCCTCTACTAACTATCTCTCTCAAGAGATGAAATGTTTGTTCAATATGTTTATCCCTTTGATGACTCATTGGTTCTTTAACATTTTCCATTGTCCCATTGTTATCATAGTACAGTATCAAGGGCTATGCAACGCAGGCACCACCTCGATGTCCATTAAGAATTTTTTAACAACTCCACTTCTTTAGCGACTTCACAAGCTACCACATATTCAACCTTCATGGTAGAATCAGCAATACATGGTTGTTTCCAAACTAATAGCCCCACTACCAAGTGTAAACAATGATCCTGATGTAGACTTGCGAGATCTAGTGATGAGTAAACTAGCAAATGATTTCATGTTCTTTGAAGGTACTTAAAGATATTCTTTACAACCATCCAATGTTCCTGTCCAGGATTAGATTGATATCGACTCACCATACCAACATCATAACAAATGTTAGGTCTAGTGTACAACATAGCATACATGAGACTACCAACTGCTGATGCATAAAGTATCCTACTCATGCGCTCCATCTCTTCAAGAGTCTTACAGGACTGATCCTTAGAGAGTTGGGTTCCATGTCTGAAGGGCATATTACCCTTCTTGGAATCTTGCATGGCAAATCTGACTAGTATTTTGTCAATATATGAAGTTTAAGATAAAGCTATCTCCCTATTCTTTAGATCTCTTATAACCTAAATACCTAGAACATAGCTAGCTTCACCTAAGTCCTTCATATGAAACTGTTGGGCCAACCACGATTTTGTAGATGGTAACACTCCCACATAATTTTCAATGAATGGAATATTATCCGTATAAAGCACAAGGAAAATCACAATTTTATCCTGTATCTTCTTGTAAACACAATGTTCATCAAATTTGTGATAAGAAAAAGTGTCTTAACCACGTCGCCAAATCTTTTGTTCCAAGATCTTGATACTTGCTTCAACACATAAATGGACTGTTAAAGCTTGTAGACTTTTCTTTCATGACCATGTTCTATGACTCCATTTGATTGTATCATATATATACATTCCTCAAGATGGCCATTTAGAAACGTCGTCTTGTCATCTATTTGCCACACCTCATAATTAAAATGAGTTGCAAAAATCTGAATGGACTTAAGCATAGCCACAGGCGAGAAGGTCTCCTCATAATCAATGCCTTCTTGTTGGGAAAAACCTTTAGCCACTAGCTTTGCTTTGAAAGTTTCCACCTTGCCGTCTACTCCTCTCTTTCTCTTATAGACCTTCTTGCACCCGATGGGTTTTACTCCTTCTGGTACACCTACAAGTTCCCAAACCTAATTGGAATGCATGGATTCCATTTCAATATTCATAACTTTTTGCCATAAATCTGCATCCACGTCATTCTTAACCTCTTTGTATGAAGTCATATCATGAACTTGTATTGTGATGATTGCCTGATTTGATTATTGATATGATCCGGGACAGGCAATCACTTGGTCGGGTCACACAAGTCAAGGGTTCAAGCAATGGAGTTTGGATGGGTGAATTTGAAAAGCCAAGGTTCAAGTTTCGTGAAGGGTTCGGGATCCGAAACGAGTTGGATTCAAGGTTTGGAAGATATTTGGAAAGAAAACGAGTGACGTGGATTAAAATGGGCATAACACTCAGCTCGGGTGTCGGATTTTCGTCAATGAGTACATTTCGAAATCGTCATGAAATTCTGTACAAGGCTACATAGGTGTATAGTACTTTTGGGTTTGCGGTTGCACAGAAACATGCTAAGAACAAGTTGGCGGGATTTTCCTATTTTCGCGAGATTTCCTTGTTAGTCTAGGATTCTATTTTATTTCCAATTTTGACAATATTCTATGACCTAATTACGTTTTATTAGGGTTTTTAGCATTAGTATAAATCAGTGTTCTAAAATGCGTCTTAATGCGTCGTTTGAGCACGCATAGGCGCAATGCGTGGGTAAAACGCCTCGCATTCAGGCTATGCGTGTCAAAATGCAGTCAACGCAAGCGTTGACCACTAAATATAATAAATAAAATAATTTATTAACTTTCCAACTTCCAACCTATCATTACCAGGCCCAGGAAGTTTAAGAAGGACTCGTTGGCCCATTTATTTATAGGCATAATGTCTTGTGCTTCATCTTCCAACTTTCGATGTGGGATCAACTATGGCTGTGTTACTGTGCAAACAAAGGCTTCTTGAGTTTCCAACCTTTTTCTGAAGTAGAGTCACCCTTTTTCTTGCATTCGAAAAAGGCGTCCTGCAAATTGATTCCCATAAATTCCCTTATATCTCAGAAATTGATTCCCAGAAATTGCGGATGATGGGCTCGAGATCGCGAAGCTTGGGATTTCGCAAGAGATTGTCTCCACTTTGGGTAACCATTAACACCTCTACTTTCTCTTGATGATAACCTATGCTTATTGTAATTCTGTGAAGTGTTCTAGCAACTGATCTCACCGCCGACATTTTGCTACAGTCTTATATGTGGGTTTGATGATAATCTTCAAGTGAGTATGATTTTTGCATTTCAGTCGAGGGCTTGTGAGTTTTTGCAGAAAAAATTGCGTTAATTGCAACTTTTGGAGTAATATTTATCATTTGTTTTGTTTTGTTTTCTGTTGGAGTTGGGTTGGGGGTACTGCGAGCTGAGTAGAGGCGATTCATCCTTTGAGTCCTCATATCAAAGTTGAAACCCTTATTACTTGTAATTGCAATGGAGTTGAATAAATATGACATTTGAATTTACCAATTGAGGATATTTATTTTGAACTTTTGTCACTGACATTTGATCCTTTGGGTTATAATTCAATGTAGCTGTGTGATTGGCGCTTGGTCATTTAATTTAGCCATGAGTTAATAAATCGGGATTTCGTTTTTGCCATGGATAATTTGATCAAAATTCAAACGCTGCTTCAAATTGAGAAAAGGAAATGGATGTTCTTGGTGGGTTTGGTGGCTTTAACCCATTTATTCTGCCAGTCTTTGATGCTTCCTTATGGCAATTCCTTTATGTCGCTATTGCCCGGTGGGGAGAAGGCCAGCAAATCATCCAATCAATCTTCTGTCAAGACTGTGATGCCTGAAAATGCTCTAAACATTGGTATCTTGAATTCAAATAATGCATCTCTATTAGTAAGTGGAGTGAAAAATGCAAAGAGTTACCTCTCGGCTACAAATGCAGTGGATAATGGAGGATCAATGGTAAAAGATGAAGAAAGAAGGATTAATATTACCTCCGATAGTGAGGTCATGGATAATGATTTTGATTTTGATTTTGTTGATGATGAAACATTAGATAATGATAATCCATTTCAAGTTAATCCAGATACGGAGGAGGGGTTCAAGGTGCAACATGATGAAACCCAAGAACATGGTTCTAAGGAAAATATCTTCACAGAATTACAATAAGCATAGGTTATCATCAAGAGAAAGTAGGTTATCAATGGTTAAAAAATCTATTTTTTATATAAAAAATATATTTAATATCTTAAAAATAATTAAAATAATACTAAAAATACGAAACGCATTATGATGCTTATTCTTCGCATTGACACGCCTAAACTTCTAATTCTTGATTCTCGACCTCGACGCCTCGCAACGCATTACGCCTTTTAGAACACTGGTATAAATAGGAGATTTATTTCATTGTAAAACCAAAACTTTTATTTTTTTGAGAGATTAAATACAATTTGTGAGTTTTTTCCTCCATATTCTTGGTGTCTTAGACTTATAATCTTGAACTTATCAAGAGGTTTCACAGTCTTTTTGTGGCATTCCCACTTCACGGTTCTTGTTCCGGGTAATCAACTGGTCGGATTTCTTATGTGTCATCTCGGTTCTTGATACAGGTCGGGTTGATCATTGCGCGACGTGATTTCTAGCTTTCTTGGGTTGGTTCCATCTTGTTCGTGGGTCCCCAAGATCAATTATTGGTTGGGTTCACATCAATTATCTAACCAACAAGTACCTAGAATGTGGTCTGATAACCCTTTGACTTTGTCTAAGGGTCGATGAATCTTAGACTGTGGTGTCATTTGGAATTGTAATGTTTGTATCAATGTTGGTATCACCATAGGTGATCCCATTACTTTCAACATCTCTTCCACTCAGATCACATGTCTAGTATATTTGACACCATAGGATGTCTGCCTTAGGTTGTGTTTCAGGAATTGATGGGGTAAAATTTGTCCCACCCATTTCTTCCAACACTACCTTATTCTTGGACTAACGATCATTAATATACTTAGCCTCCAGGATGGTTGCATTTGTGTTAACAAATACCTTCCTATCTAGAGGACAAAAAAAATCTTTTGGTAACTTTAGGGTATCCTACAAATGGGTATATCTCTAACCTAAACTTATATTTTTCTGCCTTCCCTTTCAACACATGTGTTGGACCCCAAAATTTGGATGTGATGCAAGCATGACTTAAATCCATTCCAAATTTTCAGGATAGTCTTGAACGCAGACTTAGAAAGAGCTAAGCTATGAATATATCCAACTTTTTCTAGTGAATATCCTAAAATGAGGTAGGTAGAGTTGTGACTCATTGACCTAACCATATCTAACAATGTCGTGTTTCTTCTTTTTGAAATGCTATTTTGTTGGGGGTGTAGCATGCACATTCAATTAAGGAACAATATCATTTTCTGTCAAGTTGTCCTTGAATTCTCCCGAAAGGTATTCTCCGCCTTGATCAGATCAAAGTGTTTTAATACTTTTAACAAAATGTTTCTCAACTTTAGTCTAATACTCTTTTGATTTCTCAAAAGTATTTTGCTTCCAAGCCATTAGGTAAATGTATTTGAATCTAGAGTAATCATCTGAAAAGAAATACCCATAGTTCCATCTCTAAAGTATATTTGCAGGTCCACACATATCAAAATGAACTAGTTCTAATACATCTTTGACTCCTATCTATTTTTGTCTAAAAATAATATCTTGGTCATGTTGCCTTCCAAACAAGAATCACAAACTGACAATGGTTCGATCTTAACCGAGTTGAGAAGACCTTCTCTAGCCAATTTTGTATTCTGTTAAAGTTTATTTGTCCAAAACACCATAGATATTATCACTAGCATGATGAGACTTTAATGGTTTACAGAAGTAATCTCTTTATTTCATATATGGAACAACTTTAAATATAAAGACCATTAATCAAATGTCCAGCGCAAATAGGAACTTTATTCATTAAAATGCTAAACGTATCAGACACTGATCTTATAGTACCTTATCTTATTAAATTGAAAACATAAATCAAATTTATGCGTCATTCACGAGACATAATAACAATCTTTAAGAGAATTCGAAAGGGGTAAATTGTATTGAAAATGTTTATTGGACCTCAATGTTCCTGAAATATATATATACAGAAAAAGGAAGTGGAGAGACGCACAAGAAAAAAGAAAAAAAGGCATAGAAGAAAAGTAAAAGAAAACGGATGTTGGAGGAAAGAGGAGAAAAAACACATAGAGAAGAAAGAGGCTGCCAGAAAGAGAAAGAAAAGAAAAGAAAAAAGAGGGAAGAGGGAAGAGGGAGAAAAAGAAGGGAAGAAAGAAAGAAAGAACAAATGGTGTTCAATGATATGTATCCTATTCATAATTGTACGAGCGATGTCATAAATGAATCTATGTCATAATATCAAGAATTATAAAATTTCAAACAATAATTTAAAATATTCATAAAACGATAAATTAATAATTATTTATGGCCTAAAACGATTCAAGAATTAAATTAAAAAATAATTGGACCGATAAGTATAGTTTCTACACTTATTCGAGACCATAAATCATGATATTTTATTTTATTTTTTTGATAAAGTCTACCTAATTTATATTATATTGTATTTTGTAAGTAAAAAATTATGTTTAATGTAGAATTGGTGTAAAGAATGCAAAAGTGGAGAAAAATGGCAAAATCTAAAGATGAAACATTGGAGAGAAATAATATATTAAATAAGTTGGAGTTAAATGGACCTCAATAGACTTGTATTTGAAATTTTAATTGGACCTCAATGTGGCT